GACAAGAAGCAATGGGTGGAAACTAATCAAGGAGAGAAGCAACCTAGAACTAAGGAGAAACTTCCTGACAGTGAGAACAATTAATCAGTGGAACAGCCTGCCTCCAGAAGCGGTAAATACTCAACACTGGAAGTTTTTAAGAAGAGACTGGACAGCCATTTGTCCGAAATGGTGTAGGGTTTCCTGCCCGAGCAGGGGGTTGGACTAGATGACCTCCAAGGTCCCTTCCAACTTTACTACTATTATTATTACTATAATTCATTTTGGCAGTCCTTTTGACCCCCTTTTTAATGATCTTATTCCACCTCCTTACATTTTAGTGTAACTCTTGTTTCATGGTGAATCGTCTCATGAGAAATTGGCTGTGGCGAGTTGGCTATGATAAGTTGGCTGTGGTGAGTTGGCCATGGTGTGTTGTCCTAGACCTGCAGCAGGAATGTGGGTGGGACAAGAAGCTTGGAAGACACCCTCCCTGTAATGAAAACATTGTAGATGCTTCCTGGGTAAGTTACAATAACAGATAAATGGCATATTATCGTTGCAATATATCTGCCAATGTTTAACGAGAGGGGATAAAATGTTTTTTGGTTTTTGTCATTTTAATTCACATTTTTAATGTTCTTTTCTAGTTTTGTTTTAAACTGAGTTATTTTTCCCCCCTTGGGATTTTGTGTTTTAATCTTTTGAATAGAATAAAAATAAAAAGCACAATTAAAAAAAGGAAGAGACCCTCCCTAATTTTGGGGTTGTGACAGGAGGGGAGAACTAAAATCTTTCAGAATTACAAGATTCTGATAATGAATCCTTACAATTAAGTAGACCTGGAGCATCTGCTCTACTTTGTAAGGCTGACAATGGATAAAACAATTACCACTTTACAATGCCTTGGTAAGGCCACACTTGGAACACTGCATCCAGTTTTGGTCACCAAGATGTAAAAAAGATGCCGAGACTCTAGAAAGAGTACAGAGAAGAGCAACAAAGATGATTAGGGGACCGGAGGCTAAAACATATGAGGAACAGTTTCTGGAATTGGGTATGTCTAGTTTAATGAAGAGAAGGACGAGGGGGGACATGATAACAGTGTTCCAATATCTCAGGGGCTGCCACAAAGAGGGAGTCAAGCTATTCTCCAAAGCACCTGAAGGCAGGACAAGAAGCAACAGATGGAAACTAATCAAGGAAAGAAGCAACCTAGAACTAAGGAGAAATTTCCTGACCGTTAGAACGATTAATCAATGGAACAACCTGCCTTCAGAAGCTGTGAATGCTCCAACGACTGGACAGCCGTTTGTCTGAAATGGTGTAGGGTTTCCTGTCTGAGCAGGGGGTTGGACTCGATGACCTCCATGGTCCCTTTCAACTTTATTTATTTATTATTATTATTATTATTGTTGTTGTTGTTGTTGTTGTTGTTGTTGTTGTTGTTATTATTATTTTCCTGAGTTTTACAAAGATGAACATGGCTGTGTTTACTGATGTTTCCCATTTAGCTAAGGACAAGATATGAGACTATGCCATCTCACACAGTCCTCTGACTTCTCCCCACCTTGGCCTTACGAAGTTCTGCAGATAAGTGATACAATTCTGAAAAGAATCCTGTGATATAGCAATATCTTGCATCTATTTCCCAGGTGCAATAACAGGTTGTGTGCTTATGAAAACGTTGCATTCTTGACCCAAAAGGGCTTTCTGGGTTTTCTCAAAACTATCTTTTTTTTCTGAATGATTAATTCCAAATGGTTTTCATGATCCTCTTTATCTGAAGGTTTATGCAAATATGGAGATACTTGCTTTAAAAAAAAACAAAACAAAACTTTGCATCCATCCTTCCACCCACAACACCATCCAGAGAAATAAATGCAGTGTTTTTTTTTGTTTTGTTTTTTTACCAAGTGAGAGGAACTCAAAAATAATGATTTGGCTGCAGTTAGTTCTCCTTGCAACTGTCTTCACAGGTAATCTTTCCTCTTTTTATATATGACAGGGAAATACACACACACACACACACACACATACAGGGATGGGCAGCATCTGTTGATTCAGACTTGTAAGATGGTGTCTCAACTTTCAGATAAGACTACAGGGGAGAGTGATGAAGAAAGGGGGTGATCTAAATCTCCCCCCCCTCTTTTCCATTTGGGGGCAGATACAAGACTTGTAGTTAAAGTGGGGGGGGGGGTTGGGGAGTCAAAACATTTTCATTCTCTTTTTAAAATTTCTCCAAATCTGCAAAATCAAACTCAGAACAAGAACATCTGAAAATGCTTGCACATTCAACTGGATGGATTTCACTGACAACCTTTCAGATTATTTTCAGACAGATTTGGGGACTTTAATAGCAGGATTGGAAGTGGGTTGAATCTTAGGAGCTTGTCACCTCTGCTAGCATGTTAGCAGCTTTATTTGGCAAACGAAAGACCACGATTGGTGATTTGGCTGCCGTATTTCAGCTACAAAATCTGGAATTGTTCTAAGCCTGTTTGCAACTCAAAGTCTACCTTTGAACTAGAGGGGGAAAAAAAGATGGCATTTGTCTGTGAAGTCATATGAAAAAAATGGAATATTATATCCTTCTGTCCAGGTATCCACTTGGAGGTCCAGTTGGTGGAATCCGGAGGAGACACTAAAAGGTCTGGTCAGTGCCTCCATCTCTCCTGTCAGTATTCTGGAACCACATTCAGGAGAGATGAAATGCACTGGGTGAGACAAACTCCTGGGAAAGGACTGGAATGGGTTGCATGGGTAGACAACACAGGTGATCAGAGCCCCGTGTACTAAGCTGACTCGATGAAAGGACGCTTCACCATCTCCAGGAGAGATGCCTCCAACACAATCTACCTGCAAATGAACTCCCTCAAACCTGAAGACTCTGCTTTCTATTACTGTACAAGAGAGCCAGCCACACCGTGAGAAAAGGCAATGCAAAACCTCCTTTTGTTTATGGAAACACCACTAGGCAGTTCAGCTGCAGCATACTCAGAGGGGAAGGAAGAGACCACAATGATAGTCCACTGCTCAGTCAGGGTAAGTCAGAAACAACAGGTTGATGTAGCTTCCCCCAGATGTGAATGATGGCCATTTCATGGTAAAGAAAAGAGAGGAAATTGTTTGCAGTTGAGGCTCTACTCAACTCTACATTGATGTGTTCATTTTCATAAGTGGGCCAACAAGGAGGAACTCATAGATTTGAAGAATGCAATTAGGATAGACTATGGGGAAAAAATGATGATGTCTAGGAAAATTGAAGTTTGTAAAAGAAAGGGAAGAGAGAAGGTAGAACAAAGACTCCACAGGAAAAAAAAAATGTAGGAATTGTTCCATGCCTGGAATGCTTCTCAAGAAATTACTATCTTCTCCATAAAACCAAGGCTGATGTCATTACCAACCTCCATTCTTGAACATAAAGGAAATTGTATTTCTGGAAGACCACAAGGTGACTTATTCAACTTACTCAAAGTAAATATGAAGTCATTTTTGGGAAGTGACTTCTCGGGTTGCAACAGACACCAGTGTATCTTCTTCCTCTGTGAGCCTGCATCACATTTAGTCTGTTTGCTTTAACAAACCATGGGATCTTATCAATAATGGATGGACTGTCACATATCCTCCCAGTCTGTCTCTTAGGTGGCTAATAAATACTTCTGTAAGGGTGTGTCTGTGCGTCACTGTTGATTCTAGAAACACTTTTCTCAGTTGGAACTTTTGCAAAATAACATTTTACTTTCTCCCTTGAAAAAATCTTACCTCTTTGTGTAACAATTTTAACATTTTACCCTTTTTATTATTTATTAGAATGTATTAATAAATCTAAAGTAAGGTTCTGCGTTTAGATAAGAAAAACCAAATGTACAGGTATAGTATAGGTGGTACCTTGCTCAATAGTAGTAACTGTGAGAGGGATCTTGGCGTTCTAGTGGACAATCACTAGAGCCAGCAGTGTGCTGCAGCTGACAAAAAAGCCAACACAGTGCTAGGCTGCATTTAACAGAGGGATAGAATCAAGATCATGTGAAGTATTAATACCACTTTACAATGCCTTGGTAAGGCCACACTTGGAATACTGCATCCAGTTTTGGTCACCACAATGTAAAAAAAATGTTGAAAGAGTACAAAGAAGAGCAACAAAGATGATTAGGGGACGGGAGGCTAAAACCTATAAGGAACGGTTGCTGGAATTGGGTATGTCTAGTTTAATGAAGAGAAGGATGATAGCCATGTTCCAATATCTTAAGGGTTGCCATAAAGAAGCAAGAGTCAAGCTATTCTCCAAAGCATCTGAAGGCAGGACAAGAAGCAATGGATGGAAACTAATCAAGGAGAGGAGCAACCTAGAACTAAGGAGAAACTTCCTGACAGTTAGAACAATTAACTAGTGGAACAACCTGCCTCCAGAAGCAGTGAATGCTCCAACATTGGAAGTTTTTAAGAAGAGACTGGACAGCCATTTCTCCAAAATGGTATAGGGTTTCCTGCCTGAGCTGGGCGTTGGACTAGATGACCTCCAAGGTCCCTTCCAACTTTATTATTATTATTATCGATCATCGCACAGCCAGATGTTCAGACTGGATTTGGCATTTTGTCTACCTATTGAGTCCTTACCCAGGACCTGGGATAGGCAGATGTGGATGATTATTATTATTATTATTATTATTATTATTATTATTATACATTAAGGAAATCTACAAGGTCAAAACAGAGAGTGGCATTTTGATCCCAAAGTTATGCAAATTCAGGAGCAATTTCCTGCTCAAATGAGGTATCACTTTGGATTGTCAAGGCTTTACTTCTTACAGAATAAACCTGATGCTTCATGTATTGATTAGAAGTTCAAAATTGTCCGCTTTGACTAATGTTGGGACTTTTTCAGCATTTTTTAAGTGGAGGTTTAGAAGGTCCTAGCATGTAGCTCTTTTATCCTGAGGGCTATGTAAATTGAGTGACAGCTTCCTGTCCAAAGGAACCATATCATCCTGCTCTCCTGCTACACCCAAAGACACAAATGTTGAGTGCTTCTCTGGATGCTTTGCAGTCAATAGGAATCCTCTGAGCAAGGAAATATGGCACTCTGGCTAAACTTTATGTCTTTACTCCTAGTCCTCACAGGTATTAGTTTCATTTCCAAAGAGATGGTTTACTCCGCCTTTTTATATATTACACTATTGGGTCTTATTAAACAACTTTTCCTTCTAGGTGTCCAATCTGAGATCCAGTTAATGGAGTCTGGAGGGGATGTGAGAAGACCTGAAGAGTCCCTTCGTCTCTCCTGCCAAGCCTCTGGATTCACCTTCAGCAGCTATAGCATGGGCTGGGTGAGACAGGCTCCAGGGAAAGGACTGGAATGGGTGGCATACATCTATCCTGATTCCAGTCAAAAGTTCTACTCAGACAAAGTGAAGGGCCGCTTCACCATCTCCAGAGACAATGCCAAAAGCCAGATGTATCTGCAGATGAACAGCCTCAAAGCTGAAGACACGGCAGTCTATTACTGTGCCAGAGACACAGTGAGAGGAAGTGAATCTGAAGCAAAGCAAAAACTGCCCATTTCACAAAGCAGTTTTGTAAATTTCTCTTACATTAGAAATACAGATTCATTATTAGTATTCTTCTCCCAGGTTTTAATTTGAAATTCAACCTTCATTTTTCTTTACAAAAAGATTCTTCTTTTTATTTTCTGACAATCAGCTCCTCACCTCCATTTCATATTGAGTGATACTTAGTCAATCTAGTCCCGTGGTGGTGAACCTATGGCACGCATGTCACAGGTGGCATGCAGAGCCCTCTCTGTGGGCACGCGCGCCATCACCCCAGTCCTAGGGCTTCAGCTGGGTTTTATAAAACCTTTTCGCTTTAGGCCTCTGCTGCCATGTGCAAAAAAAAAAGTTTAATCAATAAATCAATTTCAACTTCTCATGGGAAAAAAAAGATCTCGCAAAGTTGGAATTGATTGATTAAACTTTTTAGTCCCACCCAGTCTGCTGTTACCACTGCAGCCATGCCCACCCAATGGGCCACATCCACCCGGCACCCAATGATACATAAGTGGGTTTTGGGTTGCAGTTTGGGCACTTGGTCTCTTTTTTTTTTTAATTGAAATTTTTTATTTTTTCCATTTAAACATTATAAAAATACAATATAATTTTAAAATAAGATAAATTCATAACCATTGGTGCGACCCGCCCATTCCCCCCAGGCTGTGTCCACCCTTTCTTAAAACATTCCCTACTTCCCTCCTCTTTCTCTCCTCCCCTCCTACTCTTTTCCCCTCCCCCTCTCCTCTCAATACCCTACTTCCTCTCTACACCTTCTCTCCTCTCATCCCTATCAAACCCATGAACGCAGCATAAGGGGAGTTGGGCACTTGGTCTCTAAAAGGTTCACCATCAACTGATCTAGTCATTCCTCAAACCTCCTCCTTCATTTCACTGCTCACATTTCTTCATACCCTTGATCCATATTTATTTCTTTGAAATATTCGGATTTTGTTTCTTACTGTCATTTAAGTTACTGCTTTTTTTTGACCTGTCAATCACATTGACGTTTCCCTGGTAATTACCAGCTTAGTTTTCCATTTTCTTTTCTTACCTCTAATAGTTCATTCAATCTCCCTTCTCTAAATGTATATCCACCATCTTTGGATGTGTACCCAGTTGATGGAAAAGCTGTATATTTAATAACTGGGAATTCTGAAGGAAATATTTACAGCAGGAAGAGTGTACCAACAGGGAGGTTAGTACAAGAGAAACAAGTCCAACTTCTCCCATGAGACAAGGTTCAGGAAAAGGATTGCATAACCATCAAACTGTGTGGAATAGCACTGATAATGGCTACCAGAGATTCTTGAATAAGAACTGCTACTTCTCATCCCCTGTTCTAGAGTCTTGAGCCATGGTGGCGCAGTGGTTAGAATGCAGTACTGCAGACTACTTCTGCTGACTCCTGGCTGCCTACAGTTTGGCAGTTCAATTCTGACTGGCTCAAGGTTGACTCAGCCTTCCATCCTTCCAAGGTTGGTAAAATGAAGGCCCAGATTGTTGGGGGCAATAGGCAATAGGCTGACTCTGTAAACTGCTTAGAGAGGGGTGTAAAGCACTGTGAAGCAGTATATGCTATTGCTATCCCATGTCAGTCAGAGTTGGAAGGGACCTTGGAGGTCTTCGAGTCCAACCCTGTGCTTGAGCAGAAAACCCTATACCATTTCAGGCAAATGGCTGTCAATTTCTCTTGTCTCTTTTTCTGCACCCACAACTTCTGAAGGCAAGCCATTCCACTGGTTGATGGTTCTCACAGTTAGTTCTAGATTCCTTCTCTCCTCGATTAATTTCATGTTTTTCATCCTAATTTTCTATGAGCTGAGCTAGGACAAAGGAAAAACAAGGCAGCCTTGCCTAACTTTGTAAAAGGAATCCTGATCTCCTTTGGACCTTAGTGTCTGATGGCTTTATTAGAAAGATCAAAATGAGAACTTTGCCCTCTCCAAATTCTCCAGAGCAGTAACCTTCCCATGGATATTTCTGATGAGAAAATCAAAGAGCAGTTTTGATTTCTCATTGTAGCTGTTTTGATCTTCAGGAGTTCAGCTATGCCTTCCTACACTTACTTCCTCTCTTTCAAAGCAAGCATCTCCCTGGAGAACCAGACCTTTTACACCAGGGGTCACTATTGTCCCACATAATTGGATTGTTCATAGGGGGAGGGGAAGGCAAATCACATCACAAGTTTTGATGAGATTTCAATTTTGAGCCTAATTATTCCCTTGGTTGCTGGCTTGAAAATTCATAGAGATCATCTTGATGTGGGCAGTGGTTAGAATGCAGCACTGCAGGCTACTTCTACTGACTGCCAGCTGCCAGCAGTTCAGCAGTTTGAGTATCACTGGCTCAAGGTTGACTCAGCCTTCCATACTTCCAAGCTGGATAAAATAAGGACTCAGCTTGTTGGGGGCAATATGCTGACTCTTTAAACTGCTTAGAGAGGGCTGTAAAGCACTGTGAAGAGATATATAAGTCTAAGTGCTATTGCTATCACATGTCAGTCAAGTTTCTCAAGAAGCTACTATTCTTTTCATAAAACCAAAGCTGAGTTCAGTATAGTCCTTCTTTCTTGAACACAAGGCAAACTGATTTTTTTAAAAATATGTTTTATTATTTTTTTACATAATCACCTTAATATTTGGTAAAGATCACAATGTTGTTGTTATTAAAAAAAAAAACAATCAATAGCAATTAGTTTCTATACTTCTATAGGCCATTGACTTTTCTTGATGTTCTCTTCTTCCAAAAATGTTCTCTTTTGCCATCCTTGAATTAATACAATTCTTATTAGTTGGATAAATAACAATTAAATGTAGACATTTTTTTTTAATATTTCTGCAAATAATAACCACATGTCAACGCTGCAAATACTGTATATTCTTGCTTTGACAAAATATGCAGAACTGTCTGGTATTTTTAGAGTTAATGTAGAGCAGAGGGGAAAGGAGGGAATAGCCCGCAAAAGAGAGAGGAAGGGAACCTTTGCCCTTCACACTAATTGGAGAACATGATATATGACAGCAAATTTAGGGAGGAAACATGCTGATAATTAATTGCTCAGGGGAAGAGAATTTAGATCTTAGTATTCCTTCGTTATGTCATGCCGACATTTTGTAATGTAATAAAAGACTTTTAGGAAAATCAATGCCTGGAAGTTCTTTGAAGTGTTTCATTAGCCGGAACCATGACACCACATTGATATAAAACTTCTTTTCTAACTGATCATCTTGACTGCCTTATCATAGATCCTGTTTAAAATTCTTATTTAAATTTGCTTTCCCCACAATATTCAAAACATTCTTAGTGGTTAAGATTTTCATTACAAATAAGTATTTAAGTTTTTTTCCTCATACTGGCCATCCCAACACTTTTACATTTCTCATATCTTAAAAAAAGAAAAAAAAATCAAAGAAAAGAAAAAGGAAAAAAAGAAAAGAAATAAGAAGATAGTATACTACTTAATATACACAAAATACTAATGTACATTTATATCCAGAATTTTTCTCTTCTTTTTAACCATATTCAAGGGCAAACTGAATATTTTTGAAGACCACAAAGTAACTTATTCAACTTTTTCAAAGAAAATGTTTGGTGGTGAACTGATTTCCTGGAAACCACAAAATCTCCTTTCTGGGCTAGGTAGGATTCACTGATGGAGTTAATCCACTTGCAGATCTACAAGAGGGAAGCAAAGAGAAAAAAGATTATTTATTGCCATCTAGTCCATATTCAATAGTCCTGTATTAATCCAAATTAAATCATGACAAATAGTTGGGATTTTAGAAGTGAAACCATGGTTAAAGTTCTATTGTGGACTGAAACTCATTGATTGATTTAAGCCATTCTACTCATTCCCAAAGCACCATCTCTCATTTCGCCATCCATACTTCTTTACATATATGAAACCACAATCAATGTCCCACTTCAGGGCTAGGACTAA